TATATGTTATGGACCAGGTGATTAATGCGGGCATTATTAATAATGTGCGAGCATTATGAATAATGTCTAGCTCTATCGGGCTAAGTGATTAATTACTATCTAAACTTCATTATTTATCACATTGCACGGTCATTATTATATTGCTACGTGACAATTGGGCAATTTGATAATAAAGCTAAATTTGACACGGTGCGGGGAGGGAAGCACTTATATTTTCATTTGACTTTTATTAAGTTTAAAGTGTTGAAAACTATTAGATGCTAATTATGCCAAATAATGAGTCTGATTGCTTAAACTTTAGTTTATTTTATGTTTTATAATAATATGTCAAAACTTCTATAAAATAAAGATATGTTGTGAAATGTTTGTTTTAAATTTTATATGTTTTGTGTTACCTATATTTTTAATATGACTTTCCTTAAGTTTTAAATGCAGAAACTAGTGGATTCTTAATGTAGAAGTCCTTGCTAATTAATCCAAATAATGAGTCTGATTATTTAAATTGTTTAACATTTAGTTTATTTTAAGTTAAATGACAATAATAATAAAAAAATAGTAATTAAATATGTTTGTATTACTCCGCCCAAAAGGTGATGGACAATATGTATAATGCCCGGTCAATTTGATTATTTGAATAATTATTATCAAATTGCACACTCATATTGGGCATTTTACATAATGACCGGGCATTATGTGTAATGCCCGATTGATCACTTGGTCCATAACACATATACTGCGAGTAAAGTGCGCCGTTGTTTGAGGTCACACTAGCTTGTTCAGAGGCGGGGTATAAAAATTACTAAAAAATAAGTTAAAAGTAATTAAGTTTTCACGACAGAATTTGACAAAATATTAAACTACTGATGTGTTTCTAAAGATCAAAGGTAGCTTTTGTATAAATGTGACCCCTCCCCACTCAAAGTTCCAAGTTCCATATTAAACCAGATACCTACCTCGTTTTAGAAATTTTCCTGTCTCATTCTTATATCGAAGAATGAGCCAGACGAAAAGTATAAACATTGGTACTAAGTGTACTTTTTGAGTTAAAAGCCCCATTGGGACAGTTACTATCAAAAATTCCTGAGACAAATATTGTTAAATTGAGTTGGAGAGTAAATTAAAAAGAATTACATCAAAATGAAAAACAGTAACGACTTTGTGTTGAACTAGTTATTATTTGTGATAATTAGTATCTGTATAATATTATAAAGGTAAATAAATAAAAATTGCAATTAGAAAAATAGTTTTTTTTGTTTCAATTTCTTCCAATTTAATATTAATATGTACAGATATGGTGTACGAGAGTTAGAATGAGAACAGAATAAGGCTACTTTTAAGGCTCGTCAAAAATCATGAGCCCCGTTTTTTTCAAAATCAAGCATGATATCATTGAGTATATTTAGTTTATTTATATAACCGGTGTAGCTTATATAACCAACGATGCACACATTTTTAGACATTTTTTCATGTCAAGATGACGTTATTTGTGGTCAAAATATGCTGAAACTGATAAAAGTTTTAACCTAGATAAAAACAAAATTGTCAGAAACACACTACCAAAATTTGCAAAAAGGATCCAGAATTTTAATTGTATACTGTATTACTTGTAAAAGAGATCTATAGATTTAAAATTGAATTAGGTATTTATTACACTGCTAATTAATTGTGCTTATGAATTTCAAAGTAAATTTTTGTGAAAGAAATAGGTATATGTTGCTCCTGGATACAATGATATCTTAGAATAGCTTCTTGCTCATACTAGAAATAAGAAAATCATAAAGTACCTAATCATAGTTTAGTTGGATCTAAACAGAAATTTTTTCAATTGTTTTGTAGCAGTATCAAAAACACTTAGTTTATCTATCACTTACTTCTTTAAGGCCTGCACATACATACGCGATAATGTAAGCGGTGGCGGTGGCGTTGAATGTAACGTATAGAAACAAATGGTCAAAACATACGTGTCACTGCTTGTGAGCAGTACGAGCTGTTTTTGTAGCAGTCTACAATGCGGTAGCGGTAAGATACCTCTTGTTGTGTTTGACTGCCCGTTACCGCACGCTGTCAATATTTTTTAATATGTCTCATCCTTATTATAAAAATGTAATGTTCGTGTTAAAAATAAAGCATGGGATGAAATAGCAAAGATCCTCCATAAAGAGCAAAATTTCAATTTTAGCATTAATTTTTAAAAAAACTTCAATTTCAGCATTCATTTTAAACGCTAATAGGCGGTTTGCTGATGATTTTATAAAAATGGACACGGGTTATCGCAAATGTCACCGCGTTAATATGTTTTATTTCAAATAACGCCACCGCCATGCCATAGCTACGCCACCGCTACATTACCGCGTATGTATGTGCAGGTCTTTAGTGATCTTGATGACACATATTCGTTTGCATACTATTGCCCGGCAATTAGTTAACGAATCAATACTTACATGACGTTTAGATGTCACCAGTGCTATCTAAAAATTAATTAAATTCGTTGTACTGAAACGATTGGGAGTTAGTTTCAGAAGCAAAAATAGTTAAGTCAGTTTCTATTTTGGCAAAATATCACTATGATTATACTAGATTGGATTACTTAATAAAATACTAAACTAATAAATATATTTTCTTTACTAAATATTTAAATAAATAATTGTTTTAGAACATGTACACTATAAATAAGTACAAATAATATATTTTGGCAGCTTCGAAATAAAACAAAATGGAATAGTCACATCACATAGGAACTTAATTTTGAAAAACCAACGAGACAATGAATTTGGCACTTTCAATCATTATCATCTTTTTTTTTCCTTAATTTTCCTTCACGTTGAATTGTACTTGAAACCATATCCACACATTCCGAGGTGGAGGGTGTGCTATTGGTTTCACTATTAACGATTGATGATAGAGTCATTATATATGAACATGCTATCCTTAACACAGATAGTTTCGATAACTTTTGATTATGAGAATAAGAAGGAATAGACTTTCTGAGTGTATCAAATGCCGCACTAATAGTATGCACCCTGGTTCTTTCTCTTGCATTTGCTTCTATTCGCCTTTCCCTTGTCATATTTTTGTAATTTCTTTGCTCTCTTCTTTGGCAATCGGATTTTTTACTGCCGCCAAAACTTGTTGAAGCACCACAATTAATACTTGTTTGTAGAGAAGGAAATATCTCGTTAGTTTTTAAAATTATCCTTTCTGTTTCAGTTGTGGACAGACTCTGGACCTGTGGATGAAGTGGCACACGTAAATTTCGGCAGTCGATATCCGTTTCAGTTTTTACCTCTTTTGGTTCATTTTTTTCGCATTTTTTTACTAAAGCTACAGGTTCAGTTTGTTGGAGAAATTTTATTGGCGACGGTGGACGAAAATATGAGGTACATTGTGTTTCTCTTTTAGGTTGACACATAGGTGTTGATGAAGGCACAGGGAAGGCATCATCGTTTTTGAAATTAGTAACGATGCTTTTGCTAGGACTAGGACTCCACGGCCTAAATGGATGACTCTCATTGGATTCAGCCTTAACTTTTAGACACATTCTCTTTTTTAAAGGTCCACTAAAAGTATCTGTGACTTTCCTGGTCTCGGTTCGTTTTCTTTTGCTTATAAAGGAAATTGGAGATACTTTTACTTCAACGCTGTCTTCAGAGCTATCAGTAGGGGAGTGTATGTCATTCTCTAGGTAATCTTCACTTGAGCAAAAACCAGTATCTTCGGTGCCAGGAAGAGCCATAATGAAATCTGAAATAAAAATATTGACATGAAAATATTGTAATAAGAACAAAAATACGTCTTTTCTTGAAAATTAGATTAATATTGTGAAGTTTTCAAAGGGCAATTCTCATTTGACTTTCAACTCGGTAAAATTAACAGTTTAGGAAATGTTTGTGATTTTATGTTCCAGTGCACATCGATCGGCGCCTCCACCATTTTTAAATGGACATAATTACTATGTTAGAACAGTACATATTTTTAAAATAAGAGCCTAGGTAATCTTACTGTCTCTAATATAATTTTCACTAACAAAATTTGATAAACACAGTTTACACATAACAAAAAAACAACAAGAATAAGTTAAAGTAGGTAAGTATTCAACTCCAAATATCGATGTCCATTCAGACGTTTCTCAAAAACGTATAGACCTATTAAATTATTACCCACTATTAAAGTATGGGCAGGAATAGTGGGTAATAATTTAATAGGTCCATACGTGTTTGAGGAAGGTCTGAATGGACATCGATATTTGGAGTTTTTGCAAAATAATTTGCAGCCACCATTAGATGATGTTCCATTAGATACCCGAAGAAACGTTTGGTTCATGCACGATAGGGCTTCTCCCCATGTCAATATTGATGTATGAAATTATTTATCCATTGTGTTTAATAATAAATGGATTGGGAGAGGAGGCCCAATTTTATGACCACCACGTTTTCCGGACTTTAACCCGATGGACTACATCCTATGGGGATACCTGAAAAGTTTAGTGTACTCAACCTCAGTACAGACAAGGGATGGATTGCTACAAAGAAGTAATTTGCATTGAGATAATATTAGACATACCCCAGAAATGCTTTTTCGTGTACAAACAAATAACATTCGTAGACTAAGGTAGTGTGTGGAGGTGGAAAGTGCCCATATCGAAAATGTATGTTGATTCTTTCTTTTAAATTATTTTCTTAACTTTAATTTATTCTTTTTTTTCTACTTTGTTCGGTGTAAAGTGTGTTTGTCAAATTTTGTTAGTGAAAATTACATTAGCAGACAGTAAGATTTTCTAGGATCTTATTTTAAAAATATGTAACTTGTTAACGAAGGCCCGTATGAAAAAAAATTATATGAAGAACTGATATTATTTTGACCACATTTTTTTGTACTCAACTTTTATGTATCAAGTACCGGGACAAGTGGCCTATTAAACGTTTCAGAGAAACCAAAGGTAATATGACTCTGAAATCTTGTGTACGGGGGTTATCAGATATGGTCTCTTTAATGAAAATAATGTCATTATCGTAGCACTTCCGGTTATATCGGAAGTTGCTGTCAACTTCGTTATTTTAAATGGAACACCCTATATTACTATTGCATTATCGACAAGATAGAATAAAAATAAAGAAAAATAGTAAAACTTCCCTGTACCTACCTAATTCTAACCGTTTTCGAGATAATCGACATTTTATAAAAATGTTGACATATGCAAGCGTTTCGATAATTCCTTAAAATTATCTTTCTTCGTTCTGGAAGCTTTCATTTGCTTCAGAACACACAAAGGACATAAGTTGCACTACCTTCTACTATTAAAATCACCTGCAGAAAATTATACTAAATGCCCCATTTTTATGTTATATGTATTTAGAAAATTTAAAAACCACAAAACTTTTTAAATTCAAATGGAACACCCTGTATTTTTTTCACACTCTTATGTTCTTTGTGTGTTCCGAAAAGCAAGTGAAAGCTTCCAAAACGAAGAAAGATATAAGGAATTTTCAAAACGCTTGCATCTGTCTAAATTTTTATAAAATGTCGATTAGGTATCTCGAAAATGATTAGATTTAGATTCAGGGGAGCTTTAACATTTATGACTTATTTTTATTCTATTTTGTCGATAATACAATAATATATAGGGTGTTCTATTTAAAACAACGAAATTGACAGCTACTTCCGGTATAACCGGAAGTGCTACGTTGACGACATTATTTTCTTTAAACAGAGCATATCTTATAATCGCCGTACACAAAATTTCAGAGTAAAATTGTCTTTGACTTATCCGAAACGTTTAATAGTCCACTTACCATGAAGTATACCCGTCGTATATTATATAAATATAAAGGAAATTTGGTACAACATTTAATAAAGAACATAAGATTATTATTATAAAATTTGGTACTCGTACTATATATGAAAGGTTCTAGTTAGCTTTATAGTGTTGCGTTATGTTAAATGTAGCAACAAATTATGTTTTATTACATTTTCGATTAATTCTGTTGTAGAGAGAGCACAGTTTAGCGATATACTTCTAGTGCCGTAGTAGCTGTCGCATAAACGTGCATATTATGTTGTTTAAGGTGGCAATAATAAGAGGATTAAATCTGGATTGTCAATTTTCCCGTGCGAAAATTATTATAACTGTTTGAATTTGATAATGAATTGTTTATAATTATTACCAGGGTAGTGCACAGCAAATTATGAAATACACTGTAGAAAGGGCAATTTGCAATTATATGGCTTTAAAACGTAAAAATTATCGCGTTAATTTTTTGGCAAAAACGTGGTAGTTTGTGTTGGCAACAAATTCCTATAGCATGTGCAAAAAAAGCAAACATGTAACTTGTGTTACGATTGCAGATCCGCTTTAATAATATAAGAATAACAATTGCTTGATTTTGATTAATAATTATTTGTATTATCATTTTAAGGATAGTATATCATGGCAACAAACTGACGAAAGGCTAACTGCGTTTATCTAACATTAGAGCGAAAATATAAGAAAAAATAACTTAAGAGATTAAAAATACATCGAAAAATACTTAATTAGAATTATTTATTTTATTTTTACCTCATATGTGGTAAGGTATCTCTGAAAAAAAGTGATAGCGCGTGGGCGAAGAAGAACTATCGAGTTTTGTCGAATTCTTGTGCTGTACGGTTCCAAATGGATATTAATAACACAAATATTTGATTTTGTTTAATTTGATTGGTGACTGTTTGGAGTATTGTTTTTAGAGTAGTGCAAGGCAATAACAAATTTTCAATCAAATGTGCGAGAGTTGAGTAATTTAAAAACAAATATTCTTGATTCCTTATTACGGTGTTCCGATAATTCCGATAGTTTTCGAGGAGCAACAAAATATGGCGCAAGAATCTTCTCATTTTAGTTTTGGAGCAATTCGATGACCTGCAGAGTAAGATTACAATAGAAGTCAGTTTTACATATTAGCAACAAAATATGCACCACTTGTTCTTGTTGACCGCTGAAGTTGATTTGCCAGATTAATACAATTCAAACTTTAGGAATATGGTATAGATTATTTATTTCGAGATTGCCGAAAAATAACGATAGCTTATTATACAAGGTGTTTCAGAAACACTTCCCGTAAATTCAAGGGGTGATAGTACGATAAAAATAAGAATTTTTTATCTTACGAACTATATGTCTATCTCCTTTTGTTTTCGAGATACAGAGCGACAAAATAAAATTTTTTGAATAGAATTTTTACGAAAATTTCCAAACGGTGCGAAATATTTTTATGAAATTTGGTATTCCGGGGTTTTTAAGGACGCCAAATACGCCGGTCTAATTATTTTTTGTATATTTTATGGAGGGCGCTAGTTATGCTACATTCGTATTACATTTTAAGTTCTATTTTTTTTTGAGGTTAGGTTTTCGGGCTCCAATTTCTAATGTATAATTTTATTTTCTAAAGATAATGTATTCTTGTTAGAACTTCCTAATGTGGACGGTTTTCGAGAAAAAAGGCTTTTAATTGAACTCTTACAATATTACAATGTAGAAAATAAGTGACTTTTCTCATAGTAGGCTTATGTCAAAACTTATTGATGGATGTCTCATAAACAACGCATACATTCTCAGTAATATTTTAAACTCTAATTAACTTTATGTCACAATTTTAGTGACTGGTAGTTAATCATTACTAACTACAGTCACTAACAATCACAAAAAATTATTAGTAGATATTTTATTGCATTTTATGACGGGGAAGGGTATGTAGAATGATAATTAAGCTAATTTTTATGGTAATTAAAAACAAAGAAATGATACCTCTTCTTTTTATAACGTTAATTGGACGTATCGGACCGGGATTTTAGAGACAATTAAAGAAAGGGTTATACTTTCATTTTCAGAAAGTTTTTGTCTTGAACGTTTCAAATTCAAATCTCGCGCGGCACAGAGGGTGGCATACACGCGCATGCGCGGCTCCGGCACTTCTTCTTCCGCGTGATAGCCTTTCATTAACGTTAACTTTTACTGCTGCTAACGTTATAAAAAAAACTATATTGGGAACAAAGAGGGGTAGGTGATTTCTTTTTTTTTTAAATTAGCGTAAAAATAAGTTCTATTTAATGCAAAAAGAGCGAATTGAGCTTTTGCCTGTCCCTGGGACAATTTGTTTATAATGTTGTTTTGCACGTCCTACTTTATTGTTAGTTGTAAAGGCCTACTTAATTTCAATTTTTTGAAATTTTTCTTATTCTATACATTTTTTTGGATCAATTATAACTTATATCTACGACATTAACTTCTAAAATTAACGTTTAGTAATTAAACAATTTGTCGCAAAAAACAAGCGAAATTAATTAACAAATAGCTGAAGCAACAATTTCGCAGTCAATTGAGTCGACGTTCGGCACACATGTTGGTCATTGGATTGACCATCTTTTCCATAAATTTCATCATCATTTTTAGACAGTTGCTTTATTTTGAACACAGGTAATATGCTAATTCTAAAGATTAATATTAAATGAAGGTGTATTACGTTTATTTACACTTACTAAACACACATCCCAGACAAACCTTTTCACAAACAGGCAACTCAAAATTGAAGTAGCAATTCTTCAGTTTACTATGAAAAACGAGACGAACAGCGGATGGCGCTCTATTTGCGGCCACGTAGGAGACGATTCCAGAGGTTCTCAATAAGTTTTAACAATTTTAAATTTTGAGTATTAATTTTAACCAAAAGTTTTTAAATAACCTGTATACCGTTTGACAGCACGTATTTGGTTGGTAAACAAACAAAATGATTGGTTCGTCTGAGAAGAAAGATTTTATGAAATTCTAGATAATCGCGATTGTACACTCCGGTAGCCAGAATATGTATAACCCATTTCTGAGGGCAATTTTGTAGATTATGTAAACGGCGAGCTGTTCAGCAGTCAGCTGAATCATTTTGCAATAATAATGTGCAATTTTCGAAAACTGATTTTTTCGCGTTCGACCTAATGACTCTAGGTACGTTAAATTGTCGGTAATTTAATTGCCTACAACATAAGATAACTAATATTCCGATAGGTCGTCTAAATTTATGTGGGCAGTAAAAAAAGTGGAAAAACGTAAATTTACCACTTATTTGCATTTTGTCAACTTATTACTTATACTTTTTTCGAGTTATTTTTTTGATATTACCATTCTACATACCATTTCCCGTCATAAGATGCAATAAAATATCATTCTTTTACGTTCAAACTGTAGCTAACTGGAGTATATGTATTTTGTCAATTTTTTCGTAACCCACGTTTTATAAGTATAACTCATAAAACTATTTATTTGGAAAATATTCCCAAAATTGTTTTGAATATACCTAAATGATCAATAAAAATCAAACCACAGAGTGATTACAATTTCACTCCTGCCAAATTTTAATTCATAATACGATTTCTATTTTTTATATACACGGGGTGACCTAATGTATATACATTCTGAGGGTGCTACATAAACTTTAAATTTGTTTAAGGGGTGAGTTTTGGTATTAGGGATCTTTCTATGGAAAGTCTGACAAGGTAGTTTACTCGCCCCCTTTTAAAAAAAACCGTATATCACGTTTTATTAATTTCTCCGTAATTTTTTTATGAAGTAACGGAGAGTACGAGGCAAAGCAAAAACAGTGTGAACATATAATTTTAGACGCTGCTCGAGGCCCGGCAAACTGCTCGAGTCGAGGCCAAGGCCCTTGCAAACATTATTTTACGTTTTACAAAAGCCGGAATTAATTATAGTGAAAAATTAAATCGCTACAAGACAGAAGATAGACCTATTTTAGTCCACCAACCCTACTTTTTTAAAACTGGAAATACATAACCACAACGCTCTATTTACCACCAATTAATTCGTTGGACATGTTTTTCTAGTGATATTCAAAGCAAAGTGAAAATAAATAATTAATCGCCGCCTTGAGGTCGATCCAACAAAAATCAACAACCGAGGCATGTCGCTCCTGTCTCGGACCCGTTTTTGGTCAGATACCTATGTACAATTCGTGCAAGGAGGAATTGAAACAAAAATCCCTCCATACGAACCAAATTCCTTAAGTATCAATTCTCAACGGATGATATTCAAACTGCTTCAGTCTCATATTGAGGCAGTTTATTGTGCCTCAATGCCTTTGTACGGATGTGTATACCCGGCTTTAGATGGCTGTGAAAAGTTAGCAGTGGCGTATAGAACGTTTCTCAATGTTAATTTTTTTCAACGGAAGCAAAAATTACACTTTTTGAATAATTTTGATTTTATAAAAAATTATCGAGAATTACAAATTAATAAATCAGTGTTGATTCAAGCCACGTTGTCGGATTTTCCGGAAAAAAATACTTAATACCCTCTAAAAATAGCCTCTAAAAAAATATATAGTAGGCCCCGTACTGATACCTTTACGGTGACACTTGATTCTGTAGGAGCATTAAGAAAACCTGTATGTGTATATACCGGGTGATTTTTTTTACCGGAAACTTTCAAATATATCGAAAAATAAGTACTCTATGAAGATTACTACATATTCGGATTCAATGGCTGAGTACGTAGGATTTGCCAAAAACTTTTTTTTTAGATTCATGATTCATGAACTTTTTCAATATCTCCTACTGAGCCTTTGCATACGATTTTGAAGTACCTACGTTTGCAATAAATAAATAAAAATTACCGCGTTTTCCCTGTAAATAATCCAAATTAGTTTTAAAACATTTATTTCTCAAATTTTCAATTACTGAAAAATTAGTTGTCAAAACTACTATTATCGTGGGATACTTGGTTTACGCGATTTCCTTCGCTCATGACTTATCGGGAGTGCTTAATTAAATCTGCTTTTAAATGAATGTATTTTTTTTGTATTTTGTTTTAAAGATACCATTTCTTTCGTTAAATAAAAATAATTTTATTAAAAATGTTTTATTATGTTCACATTTAACGTTTCTGTTATTTCTTTCCTTGTTTCCGTTTCTGCGTTTTTTGTGAAAAACCCAAAATAAACGTAGAAAGAAAGAAAGTAACTTTCAGAAACAACTCATTTTCATCAAGCGCCCCGAAGGGAACAGAAAACTACTTTCTAGTTATGCTAAAAGTAGTTTATTCACCAGCCATTTACATTTCTACAGGTAACAATTTCCCACTTATTTGAAATTTTCAAAATGAATAAACTTTTTTCGATTCATGATGGATGACGCAGTAATCGACGAAATTCATTTTTTTTCGATTTCTCTTACTGAGACCTATGAGACTGAGCTTAGAAGTGCTGCAGAACATGTGGTGTCATCATAATGGTTGTCCAGCACCAGCACACTATTCGGTGGTACCTAGCACGTGAAGTACTCGATCGTCATTTCAATCAAGCAGACACAATTCTCCGTTGTGTACAGTCATTTGAAATGCGGATTAATAAGAGCATTAAAGTTGTAGGGCATTATTTTCAGTATTTACTTTAATTGAAAGATGATGAGGCGAGGGGACTCATGTAAATCAAGCATTCTGATAAGTGAGAGGCAAAGAGACTCATGTAAATCAAGTACCCTAATAGTCGAGAGGCGAGGAGACTCACCTAAATCAAGCACCCTGATATATGAGAGGCGAAGGGACGTTAATCAGCTACCCCGAAGAGAACACAAAACTATTATACTACATCCACGTCGTTGTTCCTGGTTTACGCAAAAAATTGTTTGTTCACCAGCCATCTACATTTCTACAGGTAAGAATTTCTGTTATTCGATATTTGCAAAATGAATGAACTTCATTGACGGGAATTTCGAGTATTTACATAAAATGTGGTACTTTTATAGCAAACGGAGGAAAAATCGAAAAATATTGAACTTTGTCGTTTCCAGCGGCATCTTATTCATGAACAGAAAACAATGTTTCAGACAAATTATACGTACTTTTAGCCATACAATCCTAATTTGCAATAAAAAATAAATGTTCCTATTTAAAATTTCGAAGTTATGCCCCACCGCACCAAAAGAAAGGGGAAAAGGGACTAAATTTGGCACTAATGTATTTCCATTTTCCTCCTTGGAAATCATCCCGTATATATATATATATTTTAAGTGGCTTATTAACCATGAAATATAAAAAGCACATTTTATAAGAAATACCTATGAATCGCCTCATAATTTTCCGCAAACAGTGTAGGTTATAGTAACTGCTCTACTGTTACAAACTACATAATATATGTGACAAAGTGGGTATCAAAGGGTTGAATCAAGGGTTGAATAGTTTTTTAGACGAGTTTTGACTTCTTGTGAAAACCAAGTCTCATCTAGGAATTTTCTGAAGATTTCTTTCTGATTATTCCTTAATATCTTCCATTGCATTTTGAAAAATAGGTATAATAGGTATAAGTATACATAAATTTAATCTCTGTAATTAGTACTGAAAAAACAATGTATGTATTTAAATCTAAATATCTAAATTTTGAAATTTTTGCAGGGCAGGGCAGGCCATCGAAAATAAAATGTATAAATTTTTTATGGAGATAATAAGTAGGTATAATGCTATACTAAATGTTACCTTTTGTAATATAAGCAACAATAATTCATAATATTCCCATGACTGTTAATATATCACACCACCCGGGTTTATTAAATGGCACAAATTAACGCCGTTATAAAATTGTCTTCATTTTATGGGTATATTGAAAAACACTTAAAACTATTTTTAGTTCACATACTAACATCGCGACACCAAAAGAGATTTTCAACTACAACCATCCAACTTATTCAAAAGGACGTGCTGCACTGAAGTTGTCATGAATGTTTTCAGTTGTAAAGGCACGGAGGGGAGAGTGTGGGCGCAGTCTTTGGCGCCAGCTGTCTGGCTAAGCTGACTTGTTAAGTGTGAGAAGTAACAAGCCAAGAAGGCCCGCTGGTTTGGAATTTGTTCGGTACAGCAGGTGGACCGCTTTTGATACGGGCCTAATCAAATCCACCAGCTTTTGGTCGGCGGAAGGTTACAGGTACGAGGCAGGGGGCATTTGATGTTTTAACGCCACTTGTATCATCTGCAGGTAACGGCTGGGCTGGAATAACGTATTGATAAGCATATAAAATAGAAATCTAGTTAAATGTATGCGATATTTTTAATAGCAATGTGTTTGTTGTTATTAATTATACATGTAAAATATTCAATTTTGAGGTGCGATACTTACCTATTTCTAGTGGAAACAACGTTAATGCCCGTTTGCACCGAAGTTAATAAGCATTACATAAAAATAAGAAATGCTTAAGTATCTATAAGCTTTTTGTATTGAACCATATGTTAAGATCTTCTTAAGTATGGAAACATATTCTTAAATTTAAGCCTCAGTTTGACAGCGACTTATGAAGTTCTTTATTCAAACAGACTTGGAGCGTGCGCAAAACACTAAAATTTCAAAGAAAAAAAACGCGGAAAATGCAAATAAAATGGTCAGTGTTAATGTGTGTGGTATTAAAGTAGGTAGTTGTAAAAAAGTATTGTAGATATTCGATTGAACGACATATTTGAAGATGATTTAGATGTTTTGCAAATTATAGGTTTTGGGTTTCCCAAATTAAATTGTACAAGATCTGACTATTCCCATACAATGGACGAATTGAATTTTTATAAAATATTATGTCTTACAAAACAGACTTGTCTGCGAATTTTACCGTTGATAGAGGAAGTACTAGAATTTTGAGGAAATTATTATTTTTATTTTATCTCTGATAACTAGTTTTTTGGTCAACAAACACCATAGACATGACACGACAAATCGAACACCGAAACCTAACCTAACCTAATTTTTCATAAGTCCATGAGCAAAATAATGAAGAAAATCAGAAAGAACTAAAATACCTAACATAAAGTATTGAAAGTTACTAGATTTCTGCGTTGTTGCCAATACATAAACATACTTTGCTAAGTATAGTTTATGATGCGTCGGTGCAATGCTCTAAAAAAAATAAGTATAACTTAATTTTAAGAACAACTTTATTAAGTTGTTCTTAGGATAATGTCGGTGCAAACGGGCATAAAGTATCGTTATGAGATTTAAGGTACCTAAATAAATATTGCTTCTTTTCTCTTCTAATTTTTCCATACTTCTTATTGCTTCAGAAAAAATTAGTAAAATGTAATGTGGGGCAAGATAGAAAATCCCTGTAAAATTTATCTATAAAATAATTCGCTGTTTATTGTATAAGCAATGTTTATTTTTTTATTAAACCCACAAAAATCTAGAATTTGTGACTCAGTCGAATTACTGAATGAAGTGAAGGAGAGACAGAGGCTTTATATAAATATTAATGTTAAGATACAATAATTATTTACATTTACAAGTATTTATTTATTTATTATTTTATTAGCGGTATCGCCCTTTATTTACAAACATAATTACAATTATAGAAAATTTACAGTAAAAATTGCTTACAAAAGTAAACATTTATCACCTAAAAAACTGATAAACCAACTAACAATACTTTGTATGATAGTTTCTTACAAACAAGACACAGAATAGAAATGGCTTATTAAAGTACAGAAAATAACAAGATTTTTTTTAATATAATTTTCAATTTGGTAGGTATTTTGAATTTCTAACCTATGAGTATAATAATATAATGCGTATAAGTTCCACCCTAACAATATCCAATAATTGAAACTATTAATATAGTTTCATCAATCCAAGGGTTTAATGAAGCGAAGCGATAGCGTTTTTAGAAATAGGTTTGTTTTTATAATTATCAGAGTTATTCAAAATAATCATTTTGAGAAAAGTGAAATGGATTAGTTATATTAATATATTTCAGAAGGTAGAATTATGCATTAATTTTCTGAGTTTATCTGAAATTAATTCAGCATATCATTTCCACTTTCAACATTGATCAAGTTTTATTCCAAGATATTTATAATACAAAAGCACTTATAATTCTGAAATTGAAAACATTTTAAACTGTGAATTATGAATTATTTTTTATAGGTTGATCTATGACGTAATAGAAAAGATCAGAAATGTTTTATTTATACGTATACGCTTGCAACCCGTTAGAGCCATTCCTGACTCTGTGTAATAACGTGTTACTTTCCCTGTAAAATCTAAAACATCTAGTTCATTTACATATGTTAAAAATAGGATAGGATCTAAAACAGAACCTTTGAGCACTCCCGTAGAGGGCAAGTTCAGTACCTACAGTTTGAACCCGTTGTAAGAGATAATTCTTAAAAATTTTAAGTGCTAAACCACGTACGCCAATGTCTTCTAATCTCTGAAACAGAATATCGTAAAACTAAACCACTTTTTAAATTTTCATTTTGACTAGTTATTGACTATAGTTAGTGACTATAGAAGATTAGCTCGCTAATAGCGTTTTCTGGTACTAGTGCCTTTTTGAAAGCCGAACTGATTTTTACTTAACAAATTATAATTTGTAGGTACTAAGAAAATTCGTTAACCTTGTTTTAATATGTTTCTCAGATATCTTTTCTGAACTATTAATAATTGTTATAGATCTCTAATTTAACATCATGCTTCCATCACCTGCCTTAATAAATTGGTATAGTTATAGATTTTTTAAATCCTTCAGAAACATTTCCAGAAATAAGAGAGTCGTTTATTATATGCTTCAAACATTTTAAGAGATTTATTATATAACTTTTTATTTTTTTATATTTTGTGTGAACCATGGGCGGAGCTACAACTTTTGCTTGGGGTGGGTCCAGAGCTGCAAGCGCTATGGAGGCCTAAAAAAACTCACAATCAGCGACTTCTCCATATTTGAATAACACGTCTTGATTTGATCCTAAAAAAAGGCACGCAATCACCGACTTACCGATATGAACAAAGATGATGATATTAGATCTTTTTTTCTGGAGTGGGCACTGGGTTTTCTTGGGTGGGCCATGCACACCCCTGTCCCCATGGTTTGAACTTTTATATAATACCAATAATCTCGTGTATATCTTAATAAATATGTGTTTAATTTTATCAAAATTTTATAATTTTTATATATTTGTATTATTGTATATGATATACAGGGTGTTTGTAAATAAGTGCGAAATATTTTAAGGGGTGGTTGCCGAAGTTATTTTGTGAAAAAAAGTTCATGTAAACGTAGGTCGAAATATGTTTTGTTTCCGAGATACAAAGTGTTTAAATTTTAATCTTTTATTTATTTTTATTAATTACTTCAAAGATATTGACTCAAAATTTGAAACACGCTTTGGAGGGAAAAATGGACATTTTTTGGGATGATCCGAGTATTTCTACTTGCACCAGTGACGTTCGTGCGAGAATGCCACAACTTTTTTTAATAACAAAAATGGTACGCCACTGACTTCTTCCCGTTTTGATATATTTTTTTTAAATATTCACCATCAATTCTGAATGAAATTCTCTTAAATTTTTTTCGTAGGATGCACCGTTTTTGAGGAAAAAAACATATTTTATTGTAGGTTTTGTTAATCTTTTATTAAAGCGTGGTCAAAGTAAAAATGCAATTCAACGTTGAAAATAAAAAGTTGATATTAATGTGGGTAAAAAATTCTTTGATTTAGAGATAGATGTTCAAAACTCTGAAATAATTAATAAAAATAAATAGAAAATTAAAATTTAAACACTGTATGTCAGAAACGAAGAATATTTCGACCTATGTTTATATGAACTTTTTTCCACAAAATAACTTCGGCAACAACCCTCTAAAATATTTGGCACTTATTTACAAACACCATGTATATACAGTGTGTCCCAGAAATAACGCAAAAAATTCGTATTTTATTTTATGTTGAGTTTTCATAAAAACGCTGAAACACGTCAATTAGTATATAAGAACTGTCGTTTTGTCATGTTGCCTAAACCTTTTTTGTACCGTTTCATAAACCTATGACGACATCGGCATTTTTTTAAATAGCACTACCTAATTTTTTAGGCATAAAAGGATAGCCCTTTTGAAGGGAATTGCATCGATATAGGGTTTAGCTTAGTTTACTTTAACAGGTGCGAAAAGAAGCCAATAATTAGAATGGGCATGGTTTAAAATAACAACAAAAGTAGATACCTATCACATCTCTTCCGAATTTAGATGTTCTAAATGAAACCAACTTTCAAGATTTTGATTTTTAGATGAAGCGGGAGATTTAATATCATAATCAAAGGAATCATAATTTTCTAGAAAAGGTTCAACGGAAAGAGGTTGTTCGAATTCGACAATTTTTGCTTCTTCAGACATATTGTAAATTTCTAAGTAGGATAACCATTGTGGCATGTACTTATGGAGGCTGGTATGAAAAGATCATCTGCCGATTAATATGGAATATACTTATACGTCACCATCAGGGGCGTCGGCGGGAATTTCTTTAATTAAAAAACTGTGAGCATTTACCGAATAACTTTTAGTATTATCATTTTGATTTCTATAATAATAGATTGGAATATTTATTAATCTGTCTGGATTACATAAGGACTATTTAGAAAAATTTATGAATGATTGTAAATTTTTAAAAACATTGAAACCTATATATATATAATTGCATTAGAGGATTTTGAATTTCGATGTAAGGTAATAGGCAGGTTAATTTAAGGGCGTTTATTTCATTAGGAAAATTTTCGTTTTCTTCGAGTTCTATATAGGATTATTCCGGTCTATAGCTGTAGGAAAACTTGGATTTTGTTGAGAGTCTTCTGGTATTACGTCATAGTGTTCTTGAATGGGCGGGTCATAATCTTGATAAATGGGTGGTAAATTTCTTGAGATTGTTCTTGGTAATAATTTT